TTGAAAAGGAGGTCAAGGATAAAATCAAGGTTGCTAGGTTGATGATTGCAGAAGCCAAGGAGTCCTATGACACTCAGTTAAAGATTCAGAAATTGAAAGATACAATATTCGCTGTTAATGAGTCGCTTTTGAAGGCCAAGAAGAATGGGGCTTTTACTAGCTCGATTGCAGCAAAATCGACTCCCAAGAGTTTGCATTGTCTTGCAATGCGACTCATGGAGGAGAGAATTGCACATCCTGAAAAGTACACGGATGATGAGCAGAAGCCTGAGTTTGAGGATCCAAGCTTATACCATTATGCTATATTTTCCGACAATGTGATTGCAATATCTGTGGTGGTGAACTCAGCTGTTAAGAATGCAGAGGAACCTGAGAAGCATGTTTTTCATATCGTTACTGATAGGATGAATCTAGCTGCAACAAAGGTTTGGTTTAAGATGAGGCCGATACAAGGGGGAGCCCATATTGAGATCAAAGCGGTGGATGATTACAAGTTCTTGACTCCCTCATATGTGCCAGTTATTAGGCAACTCAAGTCTGCAAATTTGCAGAAGTTTTACTTCAAAAACAGGGCAGAAAATTCCACTAAAGACATGAACAACATGAAATTTAGAAACCCCAAGTACTTATTAATGCTGAATCACCTGCGGTTCTACTTGCCAGAATTGTATCCAAAGCTGCACAAAATTTTGTTTCTGGATGATGACGTTGTAGTTCAGAAGGATTTAACTGCTTTGTGGAGAATTGATATGGACGGAAAGGTGAACGCAGCAGTTAATACTTGCTTTGGGTCTTTCCGTCGTTATGCTGAATATTTGAATTTTTCTAACCCTCTCATCAAGGAGAAGTTCAATCCAAGAGCTTGTGCTTGGGCTTTTGGAGTGAATATGTTTGACCTTGATGCTTGGCGAAATGAAAAATGCACTGAGCAATACCATTACTGGCAGAATTTGGTAAATGCTTTATGCTTTCCTGATTTTTACCTTTCCATTCTTTTACGTCTGAAATAGAATTTTGCACAATTTTTTTTCGGTTATCATGCTTCTTACTGAAAGTTGTTCTTTTTGATCGATCAGAATGAGGATCAAACCTTATGGAAATTAGGCACGCTACCGGCTGGGTTGATTACATTTTACTCAACAACCAAGTCAATGGATAAAACATGGCATGTTCTGGACCTCGGAATCAATCCTGGTATTAGTATGGATGAAATCAATAAAGCTGCTGTCATCCATTTCAATGGAGACATGAAGCCGTGGCTGGATATTGCTATGAACCATTATAAGCATCTCTGGACTAAATATGTTGATGATGAGATGGAATTCGTCCAGGCGTGCAATTTTGGCTTGTAAAATAGGATTTTTACCGTATTAACAACTGCAAGGTAAGACAGAAATCAGTTCACAGTCATTCCACTCCATTGTTTAAGCTTTTATAAATCATTCATCTTAAGCTAATACTTGCTAGTATTTATTTTCTCCTAAAGAAAATTTGTTCTGTTAGGTGTTACTTTGTTGTTGTTATTATGTCATGAACTAAAACGAAGACACATGGTTTTGTATACACCAAATTACATTTTTGTTTGATAGATATGGAAACTCAGAGAGTTTATTGTGTCTTGCTTAATTCTCTCTGCCCATTTGCACAGCCAATGTCTTGAACTTGCCACCAATTTCTAGTACGAATGTTTCTACTTGCGCACTCTGTTCTGATTTTTTAGGAAAAGAGGTGTAATGTTTGTACTTAATATTCTTCAAAAACAAATTTTTGGAAAAAATAAATTACAAAATTACAAAAAATAAAAATTCTAGCATTCTAAAAAAGCAAATTTTTTTTTTTTTCAATTTTTTGTTTTGAGAAATAATTTTTCAGAATGACAAAGAAAATGCTTTTTCCACAATTGTGAAACAAACTCTCAAAATAGGAAATTAAAAATGAATTCAAAATTAAAACCCAAAATTGAAATTTGAAATACAAATCGAACGGCTCTTACCTTTTAACAGAAAGATGACAATGATGTGGTTGTATCTTTTCCTTTCAGCTCTAATTGTAAATCACAGTCACAATTTATGTAGGTAAAACTAAAACCATGTAATACCTAGATAAGCATCTGTTGAATTAAATTCGAGAATGCCGTGCAGTAATTTATATAAATAACAGTAAATAAACAGTTTGGTAGAATTTCAACTTACAAAAATGAACTATATAAAATTAAAATGAAAATGATTGAGGCAAGAATTCGACTCTTTCTCCTTAAGACGATTATGCCCTGCACTGGTGATGACGGTCTCCTGACATTCGTTTTCCAAGATACAACAATATCGACTTGTAATACAAACACTCCAAATTACAAGGCCTGACGAACCTTAGTATATTTTGATCTCTCAAACATCGTAGGACTAAAATTCATGAAATTATTATTTTGGATTGAAATGTAAAATATGGAATACCGTAGAACGGGAGGACATTATTTTGTAAGAGAGGAAATCAAAAGAAATTTTGAAATGAACAAAATCGGAGATTTGGAGGTCTATTTGTAGAAGTTAAAAGGTTGTGCCCAAAAGACACAATAGTCAAAAAGTTGTGTCTCGAATAGATACAACTCGTTTGGACAAGTAGTTAAAACTGTTAGCAACCGCAAGTTTCTAAAAGAAGCCACTTCTCGCTCACAGAAAATCCTAGGGAAAAAAAATTAAATAATATAATTAAAATATTATTTTACCAAAAATATATATATACCAACTGGTCCCAAGCCCAAACCCAAGACCCGTGTCAAGCCAGTCGGACAACGGCGATGGCGACGACAGCACGCGCATGTAGGCTTTAGCTCAACCTATTAGCATGTAGGTCATCTTCCTCCAAAGGTTAGTAGTGCTCCTTTGGGCCTCCAGGGCATATCTCCCAGTGACAAAGGGGAGGGCGGATAGGGCTCAGCGCGGCAGTGTGCAGAGTTCGATTCCCCGCAAAGTGGAATTGGTTTTGTTGTAAGCGGGAGTTATCATATGGGTTAACAGCCTTAGCCTATCCATGTGCTCTCCACCCTGGCTCTTGGGAGGCACATCCTGCGATTTACCTCCTCCACGATGGCCCAGGACAGGGTCGGTGGGGGCCCTTAATGTTGGGGTTCAATCTTTTTAGTAGTGCTCCTTTGGACCTAATCCCAAATCCCAAACTTGAGTTATATAAAGTGGTTTTTATTCATCTAATTTTCCTATGTGACATTAACAATTTCCAATTTCCCACCAATTTTTATTCCCAATTTATTTCAACTTCAAGTGGTCATCTTTTGATTTTAATTTCTCATTCATCCTTAGTTATTTTGAAAAATAAATACATATATCAATTTTACCCATGGAGTAGAATACACTTGGCCAAACCAATCATTTATCCAACTAATTTATTCCAATTTTCCAACAGCATCTAACTTCTTCTGCTACCCAAACCAATACACATCTCAGATAAGGTTCATTCTATGTTTGGATATTTAAACGTTTTATAAGCGATCAAACTACTTTCTTCATATATTTCGTGGGATTACAAGTACTATTCACTTATTTGTCACTTATTTTTATCTATGAAAATTTCACAACCATAGACCAGAAATCAAACAAAACTTCCTAAATATATTGTTGCCAAGCCAAAATAATAATAATAATAATAATGGTAGCCTCGAACTATCAATTAACATGCATAAACATTCTGCAAATGTTACAGTAAAGTAAACAACACATTTTCCGATATGATGAATTGTATTGGGTAAAACTTTCCAATCATTGGGATCATCAGAATTCTGATGCGGACGATAAGTTATTCAGAATCATTTCTTGGTTTGTTGGAGTGGAGAGAAATCTCGACATTAGCCACAAAGCTTAAATTGGAGAGAGAAACTTAGAGTTAGGCACAAGCAAAAAATTTCGTCTATTTTTTTCCTAAAAATTCATAGTATTAAAAAAGCCCAACTTTTTCAATTTATGGGATTTTAAATATTTCTCAAAACTCCATGTAAAAACCATTTTCCCCCAACATTTATCTTAGCTACGTTTTACATTTACAAATTAAGGGCTTGTATCTTCCTAATCATGGCTAGAAAGCTTGCAAAATCAACCCTTGGACATGAAAATTATCAAGGGTAAAGATGTTTGGACAGGGCTTACGATTATTAAAGGTAAAGATGTTTGGACAGGACCTCATAGGCTGTCTGTCCAGTGACCCCTCTAATAGGGGCGCGACAGAGCAAAGTCTAATTATTGAAGTCCAAGGACGGCAATGCGGTAGAGGTGCCTGAAATTTTTTGGGACGTGGGGGCAGAGATTAAAATATTCTTATTATTGCTCACATTAACTTATTTATCTATTTCTTTTTTTTTTTTTTAATTTAAGCTTATGTTTCATGTAGTTAAAAATTAGATTTTTTTATAAATTTTGATAAAAGTTGATGAAATATGTGGTTACAAATTTGTGGGTTCTATGAATGTGTGGTTAGAATTGATTATTAATTTTGACTTAAATTTTTTATCAAAATTTTAAGCTACACCAAATTGTGGCTAAAAATACACAAATAAACTAAAAAATCAAAATTCAGGAGGGTGCCCTGCCTATTAGGGCCGAGCAATGCAAGATGGGGGCATGCAGGGGTATTTCGCCATTCCCTGGTTGAGTCCACATACGTATGACATTTCAATAAGGGAGATTAGATAGTAATATTAATAATAAAAAATATAAATAAACTAAAATTTTAATTTCATCATGTCTATTATGTCATTCCAAACAAGCCCTAAGGATTTTTAGTGAAGAGGAACAATACTAATCCTAAGGATGCTCTAGAATCTTTTCGATTGCTCATTCGAGAATTACGATCTTTAGCTCTAAAAAAAGGGGATCCTAAACTAAAAACGAGTCAATGACCTCGGGGAGGTCGAATTCCAAACTATTTTTCCTCGAACCAAAAAAATGGACATCAATTTGGGACACGAGAATAGCCGGCTCACATGGCTAAAAGTATGAATGATAAAATTATAGTGTATATGTATATGTGCTTAGCGGGAGCTGCAGAATTGATTTGTACAAATCCTAAAAGAAAATTCCTTAAACTTTCTTTATAAAAAAAAAAAAAAAAAGCTTTTGATTCTTGCATCGGCTCAAAATGAGGGTACGATGCCATATCGAGTACTATCGACTATTAGACTTGTATAGAACATTTGATCAATATCTGTTCTTTTTGCAAATCGACCTTTGATCCGGGGTCGGGTTTCTGCATAGGCCTTCCTCGATGCATATCTAATTGTCTTCTCGAACTTCCTCATCTTCTTCTTCTCCCGATACCTTAAGACGCGGGCCTCTCGGTCCGTGCCAGAAAGTTGTGTTGGCATCTGGATAGGTGAATTTGAGAAAAGATCAACTGTGTCTTTAGAGGGTCTTTGCTGGGAGACTGATGAAGAAACTTCACTCAATCTTGATTCTGGTACAACTCCAATATCCATAACTGGATAACCGTAGCCATCATTGGAGATATCAAACTCGATCCCTAACTGAAAACTGTTTAGATCAACCTCTTCTTTACCCTTTGATCCATACTGAACTGGCACAACACTATCACTACCGTACATTTTTTTATCATCATCAGGAACATTATAACGTTGCTTCTGATTGTTGTACTGATCATCAGTGAAGTGAATTTCTTGACATGAATTGTACTCATTCAGGTCTAAATAAGCATCAACTTCATTGTTCACTTGATTTTCACTATTCTTGACAGGGTTTAGCAGTAACCATGAAGTTGCTTCTTCCATCTCTTCGTCTGCATCGGTTTCACCAGTTGGAGTCATTATTAATGCACTTGGGGAGGGGGCGAGGGGGCCGAAGAGTGAGCCTGGAATCGGCAAAATGGGGACGCGTTGGTGGCGGCGTGCTAGTTGGTTGGCCGAGTGGATGTCAGCATCACAGGTGGTGCAGAGGGATGCGGCGTCAGCTTTGCATAAAAAGGCAGCCGGAGCACGTTCACAGGCTTCACACACCCTCACGCGCTCGTGCCGAGAAGCCACCGGGTTGGCGGCATGGATGCGGGCGTCGCAGCCAGTGCACAAGTAGGCCGTGTCGGCCCGGCAGTACACAGTACACGCGGCGGATTGGCACGTGTCGCATATACGAGCCCAGTTGGTGCTGGTGTCTCCATTTTTTTCATTCAACATTTCTGTTTAATTATTCTGTTTGCCTGATGAAAATATACAGTGGATGATTTTTGGGATTATTAGTAGAGTGAACTGAAGGGTAAGGTGGGAACTAATGCTAGACCAACTGGGGGTGGAGCCTTGGGATAATTCCCTGAATGACACGTGGCAACAAGATAGTGGTTAAGAAAAGTCGTCAAAAATCTTGTGGTTGACGGGAGTTCTTGTGGGGTCCATATAATTTGGCATTTTTTGAGTCAATTGATGTTGGAGGATCTGAGTTGTCAAGTTCAAGTGGCTAAGCTTAAACAATTTTCTTATATAGCCCCGTTTGATCCACATTATTGAAAAAATGAGAATGAAAAGTACAGTCGTTATGCGCTTCACATATGAGATAAAAAGTCAAATATAGTGATTTAATGTGATAGATAACGATCATATTTTTTATTTTAATGAGATAAAAATGGGGCTCGTCATAGATTAAAAATTAGAAAAATGAAAATAGTGTAATTTGAGCCACTATCCAACCTAAGTTCTAATATAGAATAAGTCAAATCTTTTATTTATATGTAAGAAAAAGTTGTATGTATAAAGTTAGAGAATAACAATAATAAAAAATTATTGAAAAGACTATTAACTATTACACAATAGACGTTATCATGTGTTTAAGCCACATATTTTTGCACTTTATACATGATTTTGTTCATATGAAGATAGAAAGTTTGAGGTGAGGTGAAGAGGAAAGAGATAAGGAACTTGTCTAAGAGGGCAAGTGAATTGATAAGAATTTAAGTTTTAGAAATGTTTAAGATATTTGGTTAAAGTAATTATTTGAAAAATAATGCTATTTAGTACCAATTTAGGTGACGATACGGGCTCAGTTTTAATTATCTAATGAAGTGAAGACACATTTAACTCATTAGACAAGTTTTGATGAGCCTCCATTGTCACACAGACGGATGTTAGATAACATTATCCTTATTTAAAAATCATTTTTCACTCACAATGATTTTCAATCACACATTCTTATAAAAAAATCATTGAAATTTTTTATACACTCTAGTGGCGTTCTTTATTTTGACACTTTATTTTTATTTTTCAATAAGCATTTTTCCATCATGTTTCATTTAACATTATTTTTTTAAATGTTAATAACCTATTGATTTACATATGATTTGTTAAGAAATAGAGTATTGAAATTTATAACTTAAATTAGCACCATTATAAAATAAGAATAGAGATTGAGTTCGGATCTCCAACTCTATATTTTAAAAAGGTAAAATAGAGAGTTCTCTTGGAGATTATTTTTAAACATTGGTTCTTTAAAATACAGAATATCTTATATTTAAAAAATCTCTTAAAGATGCTCTTGTACGTTGTATTTTATGTTTGCACAGAAAGTTAATATCAAATTTTATTTTTATTTCGTAATATATTCAATTCGAATCAAGTTAGTGTCAGACAAGGAAAAAAAACAAAAAGAAGAAGAAGAAGTTCCAAGAAGGTATAGCGAACCCTTGGTGTGGTATGTCGTATTCTAAAATTAGATCATAAGTTGGGTGGTTGATGTTAGTGCTAACGAAAAAATAAACAAAGACAAATAACTTACTTGAATTTAAACTTGATTATGGCGTTTATAGTTATGGAACATTATTCAACCAATTTCGTTTTCTATATCGGACTCCTTTTGTGCTACAGAAGTAGATGTGGATAAAATGATTAAATCAGACCAAATCAAATCAGAATTGAACTGAATCAAGGGATTCGATTCGATTCTTAAAAAATAAAAAGAAAAAAAAAAGAAAATAATAATAATTTTAGTTCTTAGAACCAAGAACCATTTGGTTTTGGTCTGGTTCTAGTTTGGTTTTAGTTTTAACCAAAACTAAGAAGTTTGGTTTTAGTTTTAACCAGAACTAAGAACCAAACTCAATATATATATATATATAACAAATCAGTGAATCACATAAAAAAAATTCGACTTTTGTAAGTGATTCATTAGTCTATGTTAGTGAATCATTGTTACTAGACAATATTTTGTATGGAGATGGAATTTGATGTTTGTGTATGTAAATTATGACTATGTTATTAGTTTGTTAGTTTGGACTTCTGGGAATGAATTTTATTACACAATATTTCATTTGGCGATTGATAATTTGAAGTTGAATTTGTTGAATGTTTAACGTTTATTTTTTAATCAGGCATATATTACTAACTTATGGATATAATGATAGATTTTAATTTGTGTTTATCATTTGAAATTTTAAGTAATGAAATCATAACCAAACTAAACCAAATCAGGACCGAATGTTTCAATTTCGATTAGGTTCTATAATCTTTAAAAAAAAAAAAAATATTGGTTCATGGCTCGATTCGATTCTCTTGAAACCAAAAACAAATAAAACCATGTCAATGCCTAATTAGAAGACCCAAATAAGTTCAATAAAGTATTATTCGTAAAAATGTGATAAAAAGATGGGCCAAACACAAAGTTAACATTATTTTGTAGACCTCAATTTCAAAATTAACATTGATTTTGTAGTGAATAACTTTTTGATAAAGGTAATTATAACCCAAGCAAAATGCAGAAAAACAAAATCATAAAAATCAAATTAAAAAAAAAAAAAGTTTAATTCTGCCAAGTGGCAATGCATTCACCATGAAACTTATGAATACTGTTTTCTTCGGATAATACGAGGAATGAAGCACGTGTCAGAAGCTGAATCAATCAGAATCTGACTTCCAGGAAATAACCTAGGCCAATGAAATGATGCCACTATGATGAGTAGAACCACAGCCACTAATTCTTAGAAGAAATGTCCACACAGTAATATTATCCAAATCACATGGGTTGATGGGCATATGGATCCAAAGAAAAGTAATTGCATTCTTCCAAGTTGAGATTTTTGATGTGCCAATGCTCTTTTAATCCCCACCAAGAGTCTCTTATGAGGGATATAGACACTTTTGCATATATTACACATTCATGTTTATCTCTCGAATGATCAAATTGAGATTAGATAGATTTATTTATTTTTATTCGGTCTCCTTCAAATATCGAATCATCGATGACAATTAGGTTAACTTTTTTGAAACATACTTAAATTTTACTAATACATCCTATTGTAAAAATAATTAAGCTATCACTTTCGATTATACGGAGATTTTGAGAGAGATCAGCAGTAACAAATTATACCATGGAGCTAAGATCCAAAATATGGAAGAAGCGTTTCCACGACTCTAACACTCAATCAATTCTGTTCTACTTAATCCATAATCATTTTCTTTCTAATCTCTTTTGTTTTAGAGTGAGTGTCGAGGGTGAATCTATCTCAAATGTAAAATTTTGATATAAATTCTATATGAATAGTGCTTAAGATGGATTTCAGAGTTGGATACCGAGTGACATAGGATTAATTGCCTCTCTCTCCTATGGAATTTCTGGAAAAATAATTCTATGTAACCCATCATCTCCACAATTAGATTCCATTAGCACCATATAATTTTCATTCCCAAAACCAAAAATCTATATATCAAGTGAAGTATCCATTCCATCATCCTTTGCTAATAAATTAAATTTTAATAGCAAAATGTAAAAAAACAAAATTAACATAGCATACAATGGATATTTTTGCATTCAACTCTTCCTCAAATTCTTTAAACCATTGACAATGTTAAACTCCCACATATTGAAAGGGGACACAGTATGTCAATATGACTCGAGTGCAAGGTACACCGAGAGAACGATACACAGTAAAGAAGACAAGATTATAGCTTCTCTTTTTCTTTAATCATGTTTAATTCGGTCCATTCTTCCAGCAGCATACCGAACATTCCATTTCAGAGTTTTTGTATCTGGCCATGAAGATATTAGCTTTGGCTGAACAAAAGAGCTACTCGACCCATTTCCTCCAGCTCAATGCCACCATTTTCCCTTTTAAATCTTTATCTACAAGAATATCAAATTTCTTCACCTGTGAAAAATTCCACATCACGTAACTACCCTGAACTTTAGCAGCGCTTTTATATCACGAGAACAAAAAACAAAGACATGAATTCAAACTTGTAACCACAAACGAAGCCATGTTCCCAAGCAATTTGGGGTCAGCTCCAAGAATCCCTTTTCGTTTAGGATTCATGTCTAAGATTTGTCATTTTTACATTTGCTGTCAGCCTAACACAGCAGATCTCTTTTACACAAGCTATGATCATGGAAAGAGAAAGCAAACAGAAGATAGTGAGTCCTTGCCAATGAAGCATTGCTCCTTTCTCATTGGCAGCTTTGCAAAATTTCAAAGTTCATTGGTGTGTGATCATTTCAAATACAAGGTTAGACGGCATTTGTTTCAGAGGACTTGCCTGTCGGCAGATATGCAGGGGCTACATAAAACACACAGAAATTGTTAGTTTCTGCATTTTTCTCACGGTGGGATAAGAGCTCTGTTGCAGAAACAATCGGTTTTCATTAAGAAAAAGAAGAAAACGATAGACAGGTTGGTCTCTTTACGCATAAAATTTCATAAACTAACTAAAGACCAATTACATGGAAATTTTCTGCCCCTAAATTCTACTTCCCTAATTCCCTTCGCTGGCTCTTATAAAACTAAATCATACTTCCAGTTCAGCTCATTATCAAACTGCAAAAAAGTCCTTACTCGAAGAAAAAAAATTCTTCTAAAACAAGTCATTTAGAACAATATTAACCTGCCCACTCAGAAATATAATAAATACGTAACTTAAAAAAAAAAAAGAAAAAAAATGTAATTCAGTACTTACGGGCATGTTATACAGAGAGAGATGGTTGATTTCTGGGCTTCCTGCACTCCACTAATCAAACACTAGATGTAAAATGGTTCTGTGTACAACTCAAAAAACAAATTGACACCCGATAGCGTGCCATGCACATAACCTTCCTCCTTAACTCGTATAAGAGACTGCCAAACCTTTTAGTTGCAATCTGTTAAACCGCACCCGATTGTATAAAGGGTATCAGTAATTGAAATGAGACAATACCAATGAAAGCATTTGACTTGGGCAACATCAATCATTTTTGTCGATGAACGACCCAATTTAGTACCAGGGACACCAGATGCACAAGAACAGCAGGAGTAATAGATTGCTTGAGGCTCTATACCACCTCAAAAACAGGTTGAACTTGAGACTAAAGCTTTTCATTTTAACAACTCTTGCTTAAGATTTACGGCTTCAATTCGGATTTGATGATAAATGGTTTTGGAAATCAAGCTTCTCTGAACAATGTGATCCCAAAACATGCCTAAATTGATGGCATCATTAGCATACGAAGCATTCATACTTCTATAGATTTTGAGAGTTATCATCAGTCTCCTATTATACATCTCATCTAACAAAGCTGAATAAGCTACAGCATCACCAGCTCTCAAGTATGCATATGCCAAACTGGCATAGATAACAGTATCTCCTAATATTCCCCTAGACTGCATAATGCTAAATACTTTTTGAGCACAATCAGTTTTTTCTCTCTTGCACAAAACTCGTATTATAGCCCGATACACAGAGATGTCAACACAGAGACCCCTTTGAACAAACTCCTCCGGTAATTTTAAGAGTGCTTCATCATCATTTTGTTTGCAGTATAGCTCCACAAACCAAGCATATATGCAATAACTTGGAGAGAATCCCGCGTCAAGCATATTAAATAACATATCTTTAGCACTGTTTATCTCTCTTGCCTTGCAGAACCCATGAATTAATGCCTTGTAAGTGAATTGATCCAGTCGCAATCCAGCCTCCAACATCTTACTTTTAACTTTCAAACTAGAACTCATATCTCCAATTTTGCAATAAGCATTAATTAACGTATTACATGTAACATTATCAGGTTCAATTTTCTTCTCATTCATTTCGTGTAATAGTTGATTTGCATCCTTTATCCGGCCTTCTTGACATAACTTCCTTAGAATTGCATTGTAGGTAACCACCCCCGGGTACAACCCCTTTACCTCCATTACATCCCGCAAACGCAAAGCTTCGTCAAGATCATTCACTCTGCAATAACCATCAATCAAAGTAGTATACGTCACTTCGTTTGGAGTAGCGCCTTTTATTTCCTTAAAAAGCCTTAAAGCCTCTCTCATTCTACCTTCTTTACAATAACTATAAATAAGTGAATTATAAGTTACAATATCGGGACAAACTCCTCCTCTTTCCATCCTCTCTTGCACGCATAAAGCCTCATAATGCATACCCTTCTTGCAATATAATGAAATAAGTGTATTATAAGTGAAAAGATCAGGAAATATACCTTTAAACTCCATTTCACTTAAAAAATCCTCTGCCTTCTCCACATCACCCGACTTACAACAGGCATGAATCAACACATTATATACATGTATATTCGGAAGAACCCCAACTTTTATCATTTTCTTATAAATTTTCCACACTTTATCAGTAAACCTTTCTTTAACCAGTAAATTCAGAAGCACGGTACAAGCATGCAAATGGGGCTTATACCCACAAACCCTCATGTGCTCAAACACTTGAATTGCCTCAGGGGTCATCTTAAAATTAGCATAAAGTATAACCAACCAACTAAGAACATGCGAATTCACATCCGGATCATCATAACAACTCACAACAGCATTCAAAACAGTGGGGGACCATAAAAAATCCTTAAGCGAAATCTTTTCCAGCAAGTTTTGAGCAGACTTGAAATGCCTATGCTTCGTTAAAACACAAATCATTGTCCAAGAACACTGCAAAGAATGCTTGTAATGCGGAATCGACTCAACCCACTTAAAAAACGACCAAGAAATTGAAAACCCATGAAGGGAAAACTTCAACAGTGCTTGATTAATAACACTAGAAGTAACAAAAGAACCAATTTTGGGTCTCAAAATATCGTCCCAGTGTCCTTTAACTAGAATTGCACACACAATTTTAACTAGCTGGCTCTCACTGCCTGTATACACTAAACCAGCCATCAAGCATAAAGAGTCTTTCAACAGAATGCCAATTAATTTTGGGGAAGAATTTACCAAAGTGGCTAGATGTTATAAAAATTCATGAAATTACTAGATAAAATCAAAAGGAATCAATAAGCATGTTGCTGAGAGTATAATTTCTTATTCCTCTTCTTACCTTGCTTTGTCGATGAAAAAGGTGAAAAAGGCTGAGACAATCCTTTTGTGATGTTTCTTTGGGCGGAGCTGGCGTGAGGGGGGAGTTGACGGGCTAGGAGCGGTCGAGCTGCGGTCCCAAGGGTTGGGGCTTGTTAATTTTATTTTTATTTTTTCCCCTTTTCTTTTTCTTACTCCTTTTCCTGTATTGTTATTATTATTTTTTGTTTTTCAGTTAAAAAAATGGGTATAATCAGAGATAATATCACTTTAGTTTTAATCGACATTCTAAATGAAAACCACGCGATAAAATTGAAAAGTTCAGGTCGAAAATAATCTATTTTATAGTCATAAGATTCATAATTTGACAAATAATGTGTTGGGAATCTACTTAATACGCAGAGAAAATTAAGACAAATTTCGATTCCCACCTACGATTCTTTTGTGTTTAAATAGAAATTGTGATAGAAAATTGTACCTTTAAAAATTATGGAAACCTTTTGCCATTCTTTTTGTTCCAGAAGTTTCGATCTGTCACTCACGGCTATTTAATTGTTCAACTCCCAACGATGATTCACAGAGAACAAGATTATAGGATTAAAATTCTCTTCTTGTGCTAGCAAGAATAATGAATTTCCTACAAAATTGTAAACTCTAATCAGTTATTTATCTATGCCTAGACGAGCTTGGCCTGACTCAATCTAATATTTAATTAAATTTGTTCCGCTAATTAATTAATCCAATTAATTAATTTAGGCCTATAAATAACAAATACAATCAATTAATTAATCAAATGCTTGTTAAATTAATTAGCTGATAAATTGTAATCTTTCAATTCTCTTTTGTGTGCGACCCATCAGGTTTTCGATCACAATACTTACGGATGTGAAATATTATTTTATCTAAACAAAAATGATAAATTAAAATACCCTTTTAATTTATCAACAATTCACATTCGTCGTCCCAGATTGATATCTAGCAATATGTCAGAGTAATACATGTGACGATAAATGTCACATGGTATGACAAAATCAAACTCGTTCGTTTATCGTGAAACTACAATCCATTCGTCAATATGATCCAATCAATTACGAGATATGGAAGTGTGTCAATCTCGATTATTGATCATATCTTTTACTCCACTATTAAGCCAATATAAGTCGAAAACTCCTTTTTGATTTATCAGTATATATTGGCCAATGATTTCGTTATCGACGTAATTGAATCAAATACATATCATAATCTCTTACTATATAAGAGTGACGATCCTCTATTAGTCATTCACAACCTTCATACGATTCTTAACATACCTGAACGATGTCGTATTAGCGGTCCTGAGCAGAGCAACGTCCAACACCGTCAAAACATGACTGTCCTCATATAAGGTACTATAACGACCTCAAGTCAAAGGACCAATCTCACTACCGAATGTTAGAGATTAACCACTGATACTCAAATAGTTATCCATGTGGAATCTCTAGGCGGGTCTTCAATGTTTTGTTCTAGAACAAAACATCCACGGGTTCATTCAACTGTCATCACACTTTAGTTTATGTGATCAACTACTTACTTCACAAGTAAGAAATGCCACACGTAATGGTCTATCCGTAATAACGATATCCGTATCTCATTACTACTTACGACCACAGACGATTTAAGATTCAATCATATGTAATTTGTATCTCACACAACTCCTTATGATTAACAAATTAAAAAAAATTGAATCTACGGATTATATTATTTAATTTAATTGTCTATTATTAAATTCAATAATAGATATGTCATTAAATAGCATTAATTATATATTAAAGGTATTTATGTCCAATGTTGATTAGATTTAGGACATAACACTTACAACCTCTCACTTGTACTAGATCCAATCACTTATGTATCCAATATCATAAGAGTCTATATGACGATCATATTTATACTACGACAACTCTTTGTCAATGGATTTACAATATTGTAAATGTAGGAATTCGTTCTTCTCTTTACATCATTTCTATGTATTATCTATTTGATGAGATTATATCGCCTTATTACATGTTTGGATCATTGATAAGACCTTAGTTCCTTCGCATTCGCGGTGACTCTATTGTTATCATAATACAATGTCATGTGATCAACAATATTAGGAACTACTCCAAGTTCATTAATGAACATCTTGATCCATATTGTAACTCTTTACTGCTGCTGAAGCAATCATATATTAGGTTTCTGCTATTGAACCAATGGATGATTCACGTTTGGAACCTTTTCAACATACCGCTTTAAGAGTAAACCAATTTCTCCATATAAAATCTTCTCAAAATTTTATTTATGTAGATTGGGATGAGCTAAGCAATCTTCTAGATCTATCTCATAGATCAAGTTGTTTCGCCCATATCGCTCATGAATAAATCATTTAACAACCATTATTTCAACGATTGAAATATAGGGATGTCGTTTCCTATAATATTAGGAATACAACAATACTCCCACTATCTTCTTGTAAACACACAATTCGTCTTCATATTTGATAAGATCAAACATTTTGATTCTTCTATCAAATCGAAAATTTCAACTCCAAGAGACTTGCTTTAACCCATAGTCATGGTATGCAATTATTACAACCAAAATCTGAATGGACCTTAGCATGGCTACAGGCGAAAAGTTTCATCAAAGTCAACACGTTGTCTTTGTTTGTTACCGTTTGTCACTAATCTTACTTTGTATGTATGGATATTTCCATCCATGTCAACTTTTTATAGTAAACCATTTACAACCTTTGGGTATTATCCCATCAGGAGAGTCGACCAAGGTCCAAACCTTGTTCACATATGTCGAGTTTATCTAGGGTTTCATGGCCCCTTATTGTCTCTTTTAAGTCAACATTTGACTTTGTTTTTGTACAATTAGTAGGTTCATCATACTGGATCAGCAAAACCTAATTAATAATCGTGGATTCGCACCTTTTTCAAGGTCGAAGGTCGAATGATCCTACTAGATTTAAATGGAGTTGTCCTGTCCTCAGGAGTCTCTACTTCCTGATCAAGAGTATGTCCCATATCAGATATGGGATCTAGCTAAGATTTATCTAATTGATTAACTATATCTGTGGACTCTTGAACTCTTTCAAGTTCCATTTTGCTCTCACTGTCCTTCCCTAGGGTAAACATTTTCTCTAAGAATACAATATGTCGTGAGACGAAAAATTTCTTCACGATAATAGAATTTATATTCAAATATCTGCTTTATATATCACAAATATGTATTTTTCGGATTTAGTCTCAAACTTATCCGATTCAAGGCGTTTCAAATAAACGTCATGGCCCAAACTTTCATATGAGATAAATTGGGACCATTCCCTTTCCATAACTCGTATGGAGTTTTGTTAACCAATTTAGATGTGACATGATTTAGTGTGTTGTACACTGCAATTAATGCATGACCCCAAAAATGATTTTGAGAAATTTACATGGCTTGTTATTAATTGGACTATTTCTATTAGTTTACGATTCCTCTGTTCAGATACACCACAATGTTGCAGTGTATATGGAGAAGTTCACTGCAAGAGAATCTCGTTCTCTCTTAGATAATCTAAATTTTTATCTTTAAGATATTTACACTTCGATCAGATCTTAAAGTGAGGGTATCTTTACCTATATGTTTCTCTACTTCTAGCTTGAATCTTTTGAACTTTTCAAGAACTTCATACTTGAATTTCATCAAGTTTACATGATATTGATGACATAAGAGAAACCTCATCTTACACTAATTGACATGGATCCATATACATCACTATGTATTATATTAATATTTATGCAGACTTATTCCTCTTCAAGCAAAATGAGATTTGGTCATTGTGCCAAACATGTATGTTTTGCACTTGTCAAACGATTCAAAATCAATTGACTCTATGTATACATATCTATGTAATTTTGAAATTGCATTTCATCTATATGACCAAGTCTGCAATGTAAGATTGGTGTATTATTCAAATTATCACATTTATGCCTTTTAACTTCTATACTCATTATAGAATGCTTAGAATTTAGAATATAAATGTTATTTATAACTTACCATACCATAAAGATCTTAATCAAGATAAGTATGAACAACAATTGCTCTCAACATTAAATATAAAACAATTCATGTACAAACATAAAATTTATTTAATGTTTCAGTTATGGTGGGTACAAAGTAACATTTCTCTAATTTCAATACTAAGCCAAAAGGCAATAGCAAGAAATATGCTCCAACAAGCAATGCGGCAACATTTGCTCATCTTCAACGTGTAGGTTAACTTCTCCCTTTTGCAGTGACCTACTTCTATTTAGTTCCTCCATATTTGTATAAATATAAGGCCTACATCTGGTATCAAATTACTAAGAAACTCGTGAAGCAGACGTAAGCCATGCAATATTTCTTCCAATGACCTTTCATTCTATAATGAAAGCAAGGGTCATTAGATTTGATATTGTCCTTCGTTTTGACTGTATTAGCCATATTGGACGTTTTCCCAAAGCCCCTTTAGGCTTTTTCTTAGAGGAATCAATGGCTTGCCCACTATTAACTTTGATATTGTGCATAACAATCTTAAGCATGTTCAGCAACTCAATAATTATGCATTCAAACTTATTCACGTTAAATTCATAATTAGTTGTTAATAGCTTTCTCTGACGGAGATTGCAGAACCAAGTCATTACTTAATTCATGGTTTGTGAGTGAACTCAATTGAGACATTTCTCAACGTCAATCATCTTTAGTGTCTGAGCATCGACTGGAGATTACTCTGTCATTTCGCATCGGTATAGTTGCTTGGAATTCTCATACTCTCCCACACATGATTATTATCATACAACTTTTTGAAATAAAAAATCATGTGTTAACATCTATACTCTCTTTCACAACTCAAGTGACATAATTGCAAGCATCACATATATGCAATACTATCATTGTCACTGTGTTTATTACAGTAGCCACTTCTTCCTTAATCGAGTCATCAGCAGGTATCTCTGGAAAGGGCTACTCAAGAACATAACCAATTTTTCATGCATGAGAACAATTCTCAAATTGCGGTGTCAATCAAGAAGATTTGATTTGGTTTGATTGTTGGCATCCAGTATGCCACCCAAAAGACACATGGTTACTCATGATTCAATAAGTATACATGACAAAAAGTAAAAGAATAATATATTAAATATATCAATTAATTTAATATGGACTTTTATTAAATTAATTATGCTTCCACTGTTTAACTCAAATATATGACCCTCTCAAATAAAATTATAGAGTTCATACTTGACTCCCAGTAGGTTAGGATCCCATTTATTATATTAAAACCTTGAGTGTATTCAATAAACTTTAATATAACATTTGGGTAGATACTATTATCAATTATATCTCCATACAACTCTCAGATTATTAAACTGAAAAATCTCTGTCTTCACATATCTTATGTGTTAGCTTAACATACCTCTAAAATTTATCTCTTTAAGTGTACTTAACTAAAGATAAATTTTAGTTAAGTTAAATTCGTCATTCAGAAATATCAAATATTTCATAGTGTCAAACATATCCCTAATAGACCAGCCTTTAGTGTACTCGACAAATTGAAACGATTTGGGACTCTGATTTTTCACTATAATGATGGAAGACGATTATAAATGTGACTTAATATATTTATTTGAGGGATTTTGCATTCAAAAGTATCATCGTAACATCATATATGTTGTATTATACATCTACCATGCAAATAAACATATATATATATATATACATATATGTGCATATACAATACACCGTGTCATGTTGTTCACTGACTCTTCTTGGACATCCCAAGATGTGTATATATATATATATATATATATATATATACATGTGTGTGTGTGTATGTGTGTGTGGACGATTATAGACTTTACTATCTAGTCTTCTCGAGCCATAAGAAAGATAAGTTGGTCAATTCCTATGGGGTATCGTATTGGTTAGTATCAATGCACCATCTTCATGGTTTTCTCCTCTTCTTATTTTCTCAATTAGTCTAACTGCAACATATATCCTATATTAGTTGACACGCAGACCTAAATGAAATTAGACTCACAAGTCCAAAATAATAATAACAATAACGGACTCCCAGGTCCAAAATGAATAAGAGTTTACAGACCCTTAATAATAACAATAACAACGATCTCGTAGACCCAAAACAATTAAGAGCTCACAATCTCATAAAACAACAAGAATAAAATAACCATTCAACACATCCACATGGTTGAGTCCATAATCGTCCACAATAGTACATTCATCACATAAATGTATGTCTATATAGTATCTAATATTATATGCAAATACGCTTTAAGTTTTTAGCAATTAAAATCGTCTAAACTCTTTTAGACTAATGAATTGAAACAATTAAATAATTAATTAATCATATTAATCAATTAATTTAATTAGCGGGCAAATTTTAATTAAATATCAAATTAGAATCCAACTCTAATTCCACAATTATAGGGCGGGTAATTAAAATCAAATTTTAATTAAACATTAAATTAGAGTCCAACTCTAATTTCAAAACTTAAGGTAGTTGAATTTAATTAAAATCAAATTTAATTAAATAACAAAATTAGAGTCCAACTCCAATTCCAAGATTTTAGGGCGAACTCATTCAATTAAAATCAAATTTTAATTAAATAAGATATTAGAGTCCAACTCTAATTTTCAAGAAAAAATTTTAGGGCAAGACAATTTAACTAAAATCAAATTTTAATTAAATGTCAAATTAAAATCCAATTCTAATCTCAAGGAAAATTTTTAATTAAATGTCAAATTAGAAACCAATTCTAATTTTTAGAATATATTCGGGTGAATATTTAATTAAAATCAAATTTTAATTTAGTATTAAATTAGAGTCCAACTCTAATCTAAATTGAATAAATGTTTATTGAGGTTAATATTTTCTGGCCGATTCAAGAGAAAACTAACCAAATGATGCACAAAATTAGCAACACTGCCCAATTTGCTAAGGAATCCATGCATGACGTTGAAATTTTTGATAATTTGTACTCTCGTTTAAAACCTTAAGCATTTAGACTGTGAACAAATTGATTTATTTAAATTGTTTTCTATCACATGCAAATATATTAAAATTTTTTTTTTCATCAAATGCATCGTACATGCACAATTTCAAAATCAAATTATATTGATATTTGGATTTAAGATCTATGTTTAGACTTAGTTGATTGTAGGAATGTAAATTGGACACGTCGGTTCGGTCGGCCTAAACTGATCCAAGTCATGCCTCGAAAAAAATCTAATCGAGGTTCGGGTTGAGCCTCATTTTCGGGGCATCGACTCAAGCCACATAGGGTGACTCGTTTTATGGGCCATTTGGCTCGAATTGAAAAAAATAAATAAATGCCAAAAAATACACATTTAAAATTGGTAGCAGATTTGCTGCCGATTAAGGTAGTTATAGCCAATAGCTAGATAGCTGTCTATGTGTAGCTGCCTTAAACAGGTAGTAATTATGGTATGAAATTTGAATTTTCAAATTTAGTTTAAATGGTTTGATTTTTTTAAATTTTTTTTTGGGTTATAAATATAGGTTGAATTCTTCAGTTTCATATTAATTTTCTTCAATCAATTTTAACTTGTAGCATTCTAATTTCAAGTTTCAACTTCAACCTATAAATTATTTTCTCTAATATTAAATTTTTTATTCTAAAATTCAGTATCTTTTGTTATAATAATTATAGAATATGGATGAATTTTATTAACGATGAGATTAATCAATTTAAAGGTAATTCGAGTACTCCGGGCGAATATGATGCATCTCAAAAAGTTTCAATTGATTTAGAGGGTATCAAAGAGGAAGAAGTACTCGATATTACTAAAAGGTCAAAAAAATCGTCAGATTATTGGCAACATATGACACGTAAAAAAGTTGGTGATCAAAATAGAATTAATATTTGGAAAGTATGTTACAATTACTGTTGCAAATAACTTAGTTGGAAGCCCAGTTTAAGCACAACGCATTTGAATAAGTACATATTGAGGAGTTGTAAAGCGAAACTAATTATGAAACAAACCGAACTAGTGTTTGACGGGTTCGGTTCTACTCTTTCCATCTTTTCATATTCACATGAAAGATTTCGTAAAGGGATGGCTGCATACGTAACTGCAGAGATGTTGCTTATGATGATGAACTTAATACACTTTACCCCATTCGTGTAGAATTTTTTCCAACACAGGTGTACTTCTTATTGTAGAAATACTTTTCATTCAGACATTATGAAGTTATTTAACAAAAGAAAACAAGTTGCTATTGAATAACTAAAAACTTTTAATAGTGTTATATTGTTTACCTCTAATTTATGGACCGGTGTTAATAAAAATGTTATATTGCCGATACGACTCATTATATTACTTATCCATGGTTTCTACATAAAAGAGTTATTGAATTCAGATATATAGAATATTCTCATAACGCAACTACTATATATATGGTTTTAAAAGATATTATATAAGGATATGGTATGTAAGAAAATCTTCGAAATTTTACTTTTGACAATGCTGATGTGAACAAACTTGTTATCAATGAATTTATTAATGATCTTAATCCTGCATTTGAAAATTTATTGGTCGTCAACGTTCTGTATGCTAAATTATTAATTTGATTGTAAAAGTTGGATTAGAAAATATAGAATTGCCTTTAGATAAAATTAGACAAACAATAAATTTTATTTTTATGTCATTAGCCAGAACGCAAACATTTAACAGTTTGTGTGCAGAATATGGCTTACAAGAAAAATCATTTGTCACTATTGTAACACGTAGATGAAATCTATATATTTTATGTTACATTCGTGTGAAAATTATGATAAATTGATTTCATTATATTATAAGAAATTTTTAAAACCTTTTTTCGATGCCACAAAGGAATATAGTAGTGCTTATTACCCTACATCATCACTTGTTTTACAACATTTTTTCTCCATTTCACAAACTTTTCATAAATATAGGAATTTACCAAATTTTGTTGATGCAGTATACTCAATGGAGTTAAAATTTTGTAAATATTGGGAAGAATTACCCCATTTATTTCTTTTAGCTTTGATGATGGACCCTTTACTTAATTTAACTGGCACAAAATTTATTATAAATGAGATTTCAAATTAATTTGAAATTATCACGTATGCATATAGAATCTACATTACGTGAAATGTATAACATTATACTGAAAAGGAGGTCAGGGCAGTTCTTTCCCAAAGTTCATTTTCAAGAAATATTTGAACAAATTCAGATGATTTATGTAATAACTTGGACACCAATACAAGTGTTTCTTCATTTAGTACTAGTTCATTAACATCTAGAGTGATAGATTTTAGCAGTACAATCTTGAAATTCCCTCTGATTTAGCTAGATATATGTGTGTGAATGTTTGTGGTGTGTTACAACTAAAAGAATTATAAGAATTTAGTCTTTTATCATGGTGGAAGTGTAACGAAAGGTAATATCCAATTGTATAAAGAAATCGCACGTGATCTACTAACACTTCCGGTGTCTACAGTGGCATTAAAGACTGCATTTAGTTTAGGTGATCGAGTTTTATCAGACGAACGATCAAAACTAAAAGAAGATATATTGAAGACTCTAGTATGCTTGAAGGATTGTGAAAGTGCAGAATTATAGATGGCAATACTTGGATACATCTAGTGTTACTATACATTATTGTTTGACTTGGTGTATAATCGAGCTAGGATTGAATCCTCGTTCCCTATATGTGGTCGTGGATACATACACATTAACAACAATTCTTGCACAAATCTGCACCATCAGGTCCATTATTTTAGCCAAATTATGAGATCCGAAGAAATTGAAGAGAGGTGGCGCTTGTCACTTTTTTTAATTTGTCATTTTTTTAGTAATTATCACTTTTTTCGAAATTTTGTCACTGTCACTTTTTTTCAATTGTTTTTAATTGTCTTTCTGAAATTTCTATCACTTTTTTATTAGCAAATTTCATGTTTTAATAAAATTGACATTGTATGTAATTTTTTAATTAAAAAATAATAGTTTATTGTGTTACTTTTTAAGTTTACAGTATTTTTACTTTCAAAATGTATTTTTGTAAGGTGCCCTTTTATGCAATAGATAGAGGACAAGCGGTGAAGGGTTTTTTTCCCCTTGTATTGCACTAAAGATTGGGAACAATTTACCGTGAAGGAGAGGCTGTTGCTACCAATTTAATCTTGTGTTGCAGTGGCTTCATCTTATTCATAACAAAACTTGAAAGGTAATATCGGATTCATGTGTGAAAAAACATGTTATAAATTTATGAGGGCTTTATTTGTTGATTTCACTGTCGATTGGATTGTTGTGAATGATCTAATTTCAACAAAACTTGAAAGGTAATATCAGATTCATGTGTGAAAAAACATGTTATAAATTTATAAGGGCTTAATTTGTTGATTTCACTGTCGATTGGATTGTTGTGAATGATTTAATTTCAACAAAATTTGTTCTAAGATTCTGTCGATCTTTATAGTTTATTTTTTATTTTTTCAAAATTGTTGTTTATTGATAGTAACTTGCTTACGCAACTGCAATTTTCTCGATGATATACCTCCTGAAATTTTGATGCGGTTGTTTATGGTTTTCTCCTTGCCTTTGGAACTGCTTTACCCAGTACTAAAATCAAGCGGGAACAGTGGCTCCGGCCCTGGACATGACAACGAGAGTATAGAATGTGATTGTTTCTTGAAGGATTTATAAATTTTGCGTAATTACTCTCATTTCCCCTCTGCGGCATAAGTTTTGGCCCATGAGTTTTTTTAGGTAGGAGGAATAGTATTCTCTGAAAAAGGAGGCGTTGCAATTCCCTGAACTAACCTGAAACTTGACTTACATCAGTTGTGCTGGAAAATGCAATTCATTGGTTAACTCTGCATGCGAAAAAGATGTTTCGGGCACATGGTTGCTAAGAGACAACTTTGTGTACAAATTAATATTGATCCTAATGTACATGTTCTGTCTGATTTTGAATTCCCTTCCATCTAGTTCAAATGTTTATACTGAATAAGGCAAAGTAGGAGAATGACGAAATTGGGGACCAAAGAAAAGTTTGCTACTATCATGGGAGCCCTGGTAAGCAAAGGCAATGAAAACACTCTTCTTTGTCCCTTCCCACTAATTCTATGAGAGCAGTAGTTGTGATCAGGAAGAGCCAGGACTTGGCCATTTGAAAGAAGCAAGCCATCTACATTTCTTTTCTTGGTATTTGGTAGTTGACAAACAGCTTGCTGGCATGCATTGGAGTCATGCTAATCATTTATTACGCATGAGCGAAGCTGTTAAGTACTTGCCATCGACCTTATTGAAGCGAAATTCTAATACTAAAAAATCTTAGGGTTCAGATTTTGGAAGGTGATAGTGAGTGTCAGCATGTGCAAGCTTCAAACCAAGGGCATACAAAAATGTAGGGAACCTTTAGGATTTGAATTGCACCGGCTTCTGACTTATAAAATAGTTTAACATTTTGGCCATAAAACAAAGCAATAGAAGGACATCTTCCATTGGATGGATGCTTTTTGAGTTCTTTAGACTGTTCCACATCACTACGCTTGTAGACAAACTTGTAACAATGCTTTTATCTGGTAACCTTAACCTTCAATGGTTTACAAAGTTTTTGATGATTTAAAATAATTCTGATTGCTTATCCTCCTTAAACCATAAGGTTCTTTTCTCCAAGAGATCACAAAATCCCTATATGTTTTATAATTTTTGCATGATTTTATAATGCTGAACTCCTGTTTCCTTATGCTCTTTCATTTGTTTATTTTTGCACATTTTGGAATCCTAGAGTTTTTAGCCGTTAAATGACAATTTCAGTAAGATGATCTCAACGGAAATGAGGACATTAAGATTGGCGTGTCACTACATTAGAATTGGATAAGGTAATAAGATATACTGTGACACTAGTTGGGTTAAAATAAGGATGACTTAGGTGGTTGGGCATGTATGAATGTACCTAATGAAACTCCATTTCACAAGAGTATACAATTTCACAATCTCAGCAGCATGTTAGAAGAGGGAGAAGATAGACCAAAAGTTAACAACCAACCAAAAGTTAACATGGTTGGCTAAGAATTTGGTTGCATAAAATGGTTCAGTAGATGTAGCTATGAATCAAATTGAGAAAAAAGATTCTTGTAGCCGAGTCCACATTAAGTAGGAATAAAACTTAGTTTGTTAACGTGTGGCTTTGTATGTACCGAAATCATATCATTTTGTTTTTAAACCTTGGTCTCTAAAATCTGAAATTACAAACTGATTTTCAATCTGATTGAATCTTTTGCCTTTTATTATATTAATATAAATGTGTATATCTATTCTTGTAATTTTTATTATTAACGTTTAGATGTTTGTTAATATATGATTAGGGGCTGTAGTAAACAAGCAGTTTGCGAACAGCTTGTGTTCAGCTGGCATAGTAACTCATTCATTCACATCTATAAAGGTGAACTGCACACGAATTCCATCAATTCAGTGGCAGAATTTGGAAATTCTGGAGCTCAAAAACCTGATCCTGATGTATTACAAAAGGAAATGCTACAGAAGCTCTATTAACTTAAATTTTCCAGTAGTCCAACACAAGAAAAAATTAAACTCTAAAGATCTTAAAGCAGGTATGTGTCAATCCAAAGGATAATCTCATCAGGAACCCAGATGTGACCATGTCTTGTATTTGCAAATACTTATCATCTACTCTTCGAAGTTTTGAGTACTTAAATAAAAAAATTCTCATGATATCTGCCCTATGCCGTCATTTATTTTGTGATTAATGAACTTGGCAACATTAATTCATATCTCGTTGTTAGTTACATGCTAACTCAATTTTACCGTCTCCCTCTTGATCTTTATTTTATCATTTTGCTTGCTGTTTAACCTTGTTACCATGTAGTTCTTGATCCCATGCTACCATCAATCACAGTAAGAGGATTTAATCTTCCTCCCTCCTTTCCTTTCCGCTTAAGTGCTTGTTGTCCTAAGCATACTAACATGATATTGCATTGTTTGATAAAGCTATAGTGTGGTGTTTGTTGAATTGGTGCATTGCAAATTAAAGAACAATTCCATATCTTGTGTGGTGTGTAACTAGTTATGCCTGTTAGTTGCAGGTAATGGCAAACAGTAGCCGAGTGCCTCCTCCCCACCTCCGGCGCGCTCTTGCTGGCCGGAGCATGGTGCATCATGATGCTTATGGCCCTCCAAAACATCCTCCACCTGGTGGTTTCCCTCTAGAAATGTTGCTTCCTGAAGTTATGGAACAAAAGCTTACTGCACAACATGTCGAGATGAACAAACTTGCGACTGAAAATCAGAGGCTTGCCACTACTCATGGAACTCTTAGACAAGATCTTGCTACTGCCAAGCATGAGTTGCAGTTAGTACATGCTCACATTGCTGATATGAAGGCTGAGAAAGAACATCACACAAAAGGATTAATGGATAAAACTGCGAGGATGGAGGCTGAACTTCAGGCTGCAGAGTCTATCAAAACAGAGTTTCAGCAAGCACATGCTGAAGCTAGGAGCTTGTTTTCTGCAAGACAGGAACAAATTTCCCAGGCGCAGCAGCTGACACGCGATCTTCAGATGGCTCACTCTGAGGCACAGCAGATTCCTGCTCTAATGGCTGAAATTGAGAGCCTGAGACAGGAGTATCAGCAATGCAGGTAGTTATTCCCGATATTTGGTTGGACGAGGAAACAACCCAAAAGAATATTATATCCAATGTCTGACAAAAGTGAGGAAAAATTCAAAGTAGAGAGGAATGACGTATAATCCAGATAAAGGAAAAATCAAACACTGTTAATACTTTTTTCTATGTTGTTAACTTAGGCTCTCTGATATGCCCATTTCTATGGTTTTTTTAGTAGTAATGCGGTCAATGGTAAAATTATTTTAATCTAATAACTGGTTGATTAAAGAGCTTGTCAGATGTACGAATGGAAAATTTCTTCCTACCATAATTTAATTTAACAAGTAATGTTTTTAATGTTTTCTGAAACTAAAAGTTTGTATTGCAGTTGAAATTTCTGATGATTTTTGGGCGATATCTATACAGGGCTACTTATGACTACGAGAAGAAATTATACAGTGACCATCTTGAATCACTTCAGGTGATGGAGAAGAACTATATGGCAATGTCGAGAGAGGTGGATAAGCTTAGAGCAGAGTTAACTAATTCTGTAAACTTTGACCCACAAACAGGTAGGTCGGTTTTGTTTTGCATTATTTGAGCTGATTCTGATTTTTTTGATGATCAATGGTCAGAAATGATAAAAAGAAAAATATATTTTTGAACTTTGTGAATATAGGTTGATAATTAATTATTTGTTTCTGCTAATAAAACATCAAATAAGTTGTGAAGTAATTACATAATTATTTATTTATTTTTTAGCTAAAAGCGTCTAAACCAACTATCGCTTTAGTTCTTTCAGACTTTTTTTCTGTCGTGCATGGAAAAACATTTTTGTCTTGCAATCTTTTTACTATGAGTAACTAATACGTCACAATGCAAATGCAGGCGGGCCATATGGTGGTTCTGCTGGATACAGTGGAGGGGGTATTCCAGGGGGGAACTATGCTGCTGGACAAAATGCTTATCATGATGGCTATAGCTTATTACAGGTATATATCATCTGCTTGCTAATGTGAATTAGTTGATTGCGATATCATCAAAGAAAATTTTAGAGATTTGGTTCAAATATTTCCAGGTTGAACTCCAAAATATTATGAATTTGAATCCTGCAGGCCGCACGACACACACACACATCCTTTGCATTTTGGGCAGGATAAAATATGTTCACGAAGCATCAAATTATATCTTCCTGATCACTTCCCCAATCTTAATCATTGGGAGAAAATGTATTGAGGTGAAATTGATGACCTACACGAAGCAAAGTTCAAACATTTCGAGTTGGTTTCTTATAATTAGATTCAAATTCAAAACTGCAGGACTTATATTTTGTTGTTTCTTATGATAAGCAATTCTTCAATAGGTCAAATTGCGCTCCTGTTCCCATTTCAGTATCTGCCAACTGCAGTGATTTTAACGGGTGCTGTAGATAACATGAAAATGGCATTGCCATGGCTGTCACTCTGGACACAGAGAGAAATACTCTGGTTTGTTTTAGTTTAATTCGACGAACTGGTTTGGTCTCAGCATTCTGATATCTAAGGATTCTAAAAAATAATGTTATCACACTGCTAGTGCATTCAGACTTTTTTGAGTACTACACTTGCGTTCAAATCATGTAGAGTACATATACCACTTGGAATCTTTTTGATGCTGCAGGATGCACTTTTCTTTTCATGAATTTAATGAAATCATTTACTGATTCAGAACATCTAAAATTAGTTTCATAACATCAGAAAAGAATTTCACATTGTCATGGTTGATTTGACTTCCAAGCCTTGAGTTTCAAGAAGTGAAATTTTGTGTCACTTCTCTAGGAATGTGCCTGGTGAAGCCTAATTTTGTTTTCTCTACACAGCAGGGCCAAACGTCACTTTTAGGAGGGGCTAGTGGTGCTGGAGCTGCTGGCACTGGGAGTGGAGCACATGATTCTGGCGCTGGGGGTACTTCTCCTCATTTTGTAGCTCAATCTGCATCTGGTGGTTTGGGGGCTGCTTATGATGCATCAAAAAGGACTGGTTATGACGTGCAAAGAGGGCCTACTGGACCTGGCTACGATGCACAGAGAGGATCTACTGGACCTGGCTTCGATGCAGAGAGAGTTCCAACTGGGCCCGGCTACGATGCACACAGAGGACCAACTGCACCCGGTTACCAGCCACAGAGAGGACCAACTGCACCCGGTTACCAGCCACAGAGAGGACCAAGTGTACCGGGTTACCATTCACAGAGAGGACTCATTGGTGCCCCAGCTTATGAAATGCAGAGAGCACCTAAGCAAGACACGCAGAAGGGACCAGGTTATGATGCTGATAAAGCACCTGGTTATGATGATCAAAGACCTCCACCTACTCGTGATTTTCGAAGAGATTCCGGAAATGACGTCCAAAGGGGATCTAATTATGATCTGCAGAAAGCTGCTGGCTATGATCCATCGTCTCAAGGCGCTGTTGGGTCCCAAGGACAGGTACCGATTGAAAATACACATCATGTGTCAGGACCACCACCGCCTACTCGCCCCAGTGGTGGATACGAGGCACCTGCACGAGGTGGGAACCCTGTTCATAGATGAGTTCAGAACCATCTCAATTTCAGTGTTGTCCGAAATTTCTTCGTGGATGCCTTGTGTAATTGAGCTCGCATTTTACTTGTCATTCGTCATCCGGCACGATACATCTCCCTCGTGTTATGTTTCTCTTTCATAAGGAGACGTCTGTAGTGTTATGTTTCTCTTTCATAAGCAGACGTCTGTAGTGAAGTTCTGATATGAAAGCATAACCAATGTAGTTTTCAACTTATTATGCAAGTCGAACACAGAAGCAGAATGCAGTCATGCTTTGTTGGAAGAGCCTAGTACCCAACAAATTGTGGTGGTGTTCATGTTCAGCCTACAACTATTTATATTTTCTGAAAAATTCTGTGTACGCAAAATTTAACTTATGTTCTTCGAAACTGCTCAATACTATTCCGCTGAAATCAAATATGAGTCACCAAAGAGTTGGAATGTTATAGGCCTATTTGGCATGGTTTTTATCTTTGCTTGTTATAGAAGTACCTTTGGAGGAAGTTACCTTAATTTTTAAGAGTTTTTTATTTTGAAAATATTTTTAGAGGAAGTTTGAGTCAATTTCCTTTAAAAGTTCTTCTAACTAGAAGAAATACTTTTATAAAATTAGTTCAACAGGTCCAAAAATTTTTAGATCTGAAAAATGTTTTCTGACTTTTCAAAAGACATGCCAAATTGGCCATACATATTACATAAACATGAATTTCTCTCATATTACATAAACATGAATTTTTGGATATGAAAAATGCTTTCTAACTTTTGAAAAGACATGCCAAATCGGCCCTACATATTACATAGACATGAATTTCTCTCATTCTTTGCTTCATCAAAACATGGTAATGACTTAAAAACATTTTTATTATCCCTTTCTTCATCTTCCAAACTAGAAGCCTCTCTTTAGGGAATTCATCATAATCTGGTCACCCCAAGGAACAGATACTAACTTTCCTTCCAATCCATCCCTTCTTTCTTGTCCTACCCCACCAATTTTTCTTCATATTTATGTTGGAAAGCTTAGCTCTCTTTCTCTCTCTCACAAAGTTTCGAAGTTTCCTCTTCCTTAGAACGGTTATCTTCTTCTTGGATAAGGCCATATTGCCAGCACATTCAGCAAGCCAATCAAGACTCCAGCCACCTTGCACAAACTAATTGCACATTTGACTATGTAAGTACTACAATACGTGTTTTCATTATCGTTTATATTGAATTTTTATTTTTATTAGCAATTCTAGAATGTCAACTTCACTTGATATAATGTTAATTTTGTAATCAATTGCTTCTATTTGTTTCCTGTTCTTTCCTCCATTAAAATAAAAAATATGATCGTTATTCATCACATGAAGATACCAAATTTGAATTTCTATATCTCGTGTGGGGTTCATAACGATTATATTTTTCATTCTCATTTTTACAAAAATGGAAAACAAACACCCCTTTAATTTTTATTAAAAAAAAAATACTCTGTGACTTAGAGGGTTGCCACAGTCGTACAAGATAAAATCTCCAAGTGAACTTGTTGAGAGGCTTATTCTTTTTGAGAAATAATTCGTGTTTAGAAATAGGATTAACTTTTCAAATAAATTTATTTTTACGTTATAAACACAAAATGTGGGGGAAATGAAAGGAAGAAAAAAAAAATTTGGCTTCTTGTGACGCGATGAGACTTTTTTATTTTATTTTTATTTTTATTTTTATTCTAATAAATCTGATTTTTTTAAACTAATTTTCATTTTTTTGACAGGTACGAAGTGACCTAATTGCAATATTGGTCCACAAAACCTTCTGCGATTTCTATTTTGGCCCATAAATCCCCATATAAATTCATGGCGAAGAAAATCGTTCGAAGACTCACAACCTTGATCACAAAGCCTTTCAGGAAACGGCCGCGTAAAAGGCCACCACCGTCGACGCCGACGATATCGCCGACTCCGACTCCGACCCCAACTCCGACGCTGATGCCCTCTTCCCCCTATCCACCGGAATCCCCAGTCGACACCATGTCAACGCCACCACTAAAACTGTCCTCCCATCCTTTTCTCTTCCCGGAAATTCAGTCTCCAGTCCTGCCTGATCCTTCATCATTCTTCTCACCCCACCTCCTCTCCAATCCTTTACCCACGAATTCATTTTTTCAGAATTTCGTGTTGAAAAATGGTGATCAGCCTGAATATATACACCCATATTTAATCAAATCATCTCAATCTTCTCTTACCCTTTGTTACCCATCTCAGTTCAAGAGTCCTGCTTTCTTATACGAGATATTTATTGCTGATCTCACCATTTCCGTACTGAACAATCCTAATTCGAATGCAACCCACATCATATCTGCATTCAATGATTTGAGTGTGACTTTGGATCTTCCATCTAGTAATCTTAGGTTCTTTCTTGTTAGGGGGAGCCCCTTCTTGACTTGTAATGTATTGAGTCGTGTTGCGCTGTCAGTTTCAACTATTCATGCCATTCTTGAATTGTCCCCAAATGGTTCTTCCACAAAGTACACTATTAAGCTTAATAACAATCAGACTTGGCTTCTTTATGCTTCTTCTCCGATATATTTGAGTCATGATGTTTCTACTATTACTTCTAGTGTGTTTTCGGGGATAATTAGAATTGCTGTATTGTCCGATCCAAAATTCGACTCGGTTCTTGATCGTTTTAGTTCTTGTTATCCAATTAGTGGTGATGCTGTTTTCACTAACCCTTTTAGTTTGGAGTATAAATGGGATAAGAGAGGGTGGGGGGATTTATTAATGCTTGCCCATCCTTTACATCTTCAGCTCTTTTCGAGTACTGACAGTTCGGTTACCATCTTGGAGGATTTCAAGTACAATAGTATTGATGGTGAGCTGGTTGGTGTTGTTGGAGATTCTTGGGTTTTGAAAAGTGACCCTATTGCTGTTACTTGGCATTCAATTAGAGGGATTAATGAGGAATCAAATTCTGAGATAATTGAAGCACTCATTAAGGATGTTGAGGCCTTGAATTCAAATGCAGTATCAACAACATCATCGTACTATTATGGGAAACTGATCGCCAGAGCTGCGCGGTTTGCATTGATTGCAGAAGAGGTGTGTTATATTGAAGTGATCCCTGCAATTAGGAAGTTCTTGAAAGATATGATTGAGCCCTGGTTGGATGGAACTTTTGATGCTAATGGTTTCTTGTACGACCCAAAATGGGGTGGAATCGTGACTAAACTAGGATCAGCGGATTCGGGAGCTGATTTTGGATTTGGAATCTATAATGATCACCACTATCACCTTGGATATTTCATCTATGGGATTGCTGTTCTTGCCAAGATCGATGCTGCGTGGGGAAGGAAGTACAAGCCACAAGCTTATTCTCTTATGGCAGACTTTATGAACTTGAGCAGGCGAGTGAACTCAAATTATCCCCGTTTGAGGTGTTTTGACTTGTGGAAATTGCATTCTTGGGCAGGAGGGCTTACGGAGTTTGCAGATGGTCGAAATCAGGAGAGCACGAGTGAGGCCGTTAATGGATATTATTCAGCGGCTCTTATGGGACTGGCATATGGGGACAGCCACCTTGTTTCTATTGGATCTGCTTTATCTGCTTTGGAAATTCGAGCAGCACAAACTTGGTGGCATGTGAGAGAGGAGGACAATGTTTATGGAGAGGAATTTACCAAAGAGAACAGGATGGTGGGTGTTTTATGGGCTAACAAAAGGGACAGTGGTCTTTGGTTTGCTCCGGCCGACTGGAGGGAGTGTAGGCTGGGAATTCAACTTCTGCCTATACTGCCCATAAGTGAAATTCTATTCTCTGATGTACATTTTGTGAGACAGCTATTATCGTGGACCTTGCCAGCCCTGGCCCGGCAAGGAGTTGGAGAAGGTTGGAAGGGTTTCGTATATGCATTGCAAGGGATTTACGATAAAGAAGGTGCTTTAGATAAAATCAGGAACTTGAATGGATATGATGATGGGAACTCCCTCACAAATCTTTTGTGGTGGATTTATAGTCGAGATGATGAAAAAGAGAGACGAGTGGAACTTTGTTGGTTTCGTCACTATTCTCACTGAATTTGTGTTAAATAGAGTGAATAAAAGGGACAAATATGAAACCGGCTTCACAGATCAGAAATATCACTATGTATCGGGTATCTCAAGCATTTGTTCCTCATTGCATTTAATGTTTGTCCGATTTCTTATGTTGGAATGATTTGTTTTAGAACAATTATCACTTTGTCTGCTACAAATTGAATTCGAAAATCATAAATGCTTGTAAAAATGTGCACTTTATGCAGTATTATATGGTACAGGAAACATATTTATTGGAACTAACAGGCCTGTTGAATCTGCTTCCCAAATACATTTCTCATTATATTGAAAAGGTTAGTACAAAAGATAGGTTTATTATTGTTTCTTGATCAAATTATTAAACTCGCATATGATATCGACTTTTCAGTTGATGACCAAACGTTGAATTTGTGGATGATTCTGGGATCAAATGTAAGGTTAAAAAGCTTCATAAAATGTGATTAGTCTGCAACATTGTGATTTAGACTTTTTTATCATTGCAAGTAGATGATTTGGAGACTTGGTATATATCTTTGGTCATGAAAATCTGGTCACTCGGTTCTAGCGACTCCTTGTTTTTCTTTGATTCACACCTCTCTAGAAATCTTGTGAAGAGGAAGATAGGTTAATCGTAGTTGGTTGTATTTACTCAACTCTCCTAGGAAGCTAAAACTGTGAAAATTTGGATTCGTAGCATGTTAGGCAAGAATGAGCACCACCTTCTGTGTCCGTCTATTGCTGGTGCATCCCATTTGATAAATTGAATTACTATATCATGTACCAGATGTATATGAAGACCTTTTATCGAGAGAGATTCGACTTGTGGGAAGCATACTGGCACAGTGAAGGAATATGTGATAGAATTCCGTTCCTTGATGTGGATTGTGTAGAGTCTAATGTTATAATTTGAGGGGGAGTGTTTTTGTACGTGAGACATGTCGAATAATAAAAACTCACAAACGAATATTGGCGAACCCGTATTACCGTGAATCTTTTTGAATATATTAAAATATAAGTGAAGCTTAAGACAAAAAAGAATATTTGTAGGAACTGTAAATGACGAACTGGTAACTAATTTTATATTAGCAAAAATCATTATCCAAGCACACGAGTGAATAGAAGTAAGAAACATGACTTGACATGTAAGCAGGCTAGCAAATCATGAACTGATAACATAATCAATTATAAATTAATCAATCAATGATTGCCACATGTGACCGGCTCTAAAGGCTTGTTTACCCTCAAATTCTAAATAAAAATCTATAGATAGGCGTGCTGGAAGTTTAGAATGGAATGTTGAATTTGAAATAGCATCATCTTACATAGCTATTTTTCCTCTTACTTACGATCGAGCAACAGAATAGCTAGTTTAGAAGGAAAAAATCTGGCTAGATAAAGAAAATTTGATGATTATCTTTTTGAGGTCAACAAGACAAGGGTTAGTATGAGATCTCCATCTTTCGTGTTTTTTTTTTTATTGATATGTACTTGTTCTTGAGCTTATTGGTGGCAATGGACTTTGATTGCTGGCATATCTATTAGTTAGGGCGGGTAGTTTAGCGAGCTATTGGTGAAAAGTTGCCGTTGAGAAAGCGGTAGTGGTGTTGAGTGTCACAATGGTTGCTCAAGATAAGGATGAATTTAAAGTGGTGGATGGTTCCGTTGAGTTTTAAAATAGAACTTGTGTTTTAGAGGGAAGGGCTTCTAGACTCCACCGCGCCCTTCCCACATTATGTGTGGGAACTTAATCCGTTTGTAGTTTCCCTCTTCTCACTCAACCAGGCAACCATTTCACTTTCGAATCAACTTTGGTACTGTATCGGCACCATTCTCTTGTGCTTCGGAAGAAGCCTTTCACACGCAATTGGGGGTATGGATATGAAGATGCAGGAGGTAATATAGGGACACACGGAGAAGGGAGGAGATAACACGAGGACTGTTAAAAAATAATTTATATATATTTTCCACTGAATTCCCAATTTTTCTGAGATCAAAACCAGGAAAGATAATTTAAAATTTGAGAACCATTTCAAGAATGGTAGAAAATGCGCAACTTCTCCTCATAAAACATGAAGAAACCAATCCCAGTGTCAACTTATGGATATGAATACAAGACAAAAGAGGGCTAAATGCCATTCATGAAACTTTAATCTGACTTTTAGTTGTACATTGATAATTCCAAACTAATTCACACATCTAAGTAAAAGCCATGCAATTCCATTGATTATGGAATCAAAACCAGCTAAGGAAACTCAGGCAATCCCACAGATTATGAAACCAAATTCAGCTTTGATACCATATTGAGAGCACAAGAAATCATGATTACTAACTAGCATAAGCTCCAGACTTATATATAAGATTGCACGACTTAGCATCTCATTACATGGTGAGGAAAGTCCAAAGTTTCTTACCAATGGAAGCTTCCCCAGGATGGTCGACCTTATTGTCATTTATCATCGTCATCGTCATCATCATCGTCTTCCTCGCCGCTTTTAGTTTGGAGCTCTTCATCATGTAGTGCCCGGCTCCTGCTCTCCTGTTCACCTCCACTCATAACCATTTCATCTGAAGACGAATTTGCTGTGTGTTTTACCTGATGACGATCGTCCCCAGCATTCTCGAACTGCCCACGTGACCAAAAAAATAAAAAAATTTAAAATAAGTTATCGCTTTTTCTACAGGCACAAGAGGCTTTTTCAAATCACGCATTAGACCACATTTTTCGAGATAGATAGCATTACTGCCTCCGGTATCCCCCTCCTTGTAGTTAAGGTAATGACTTCGGGCATGGCCAGCTCCCATTGATAACCCTAGTTATGTGTGGTATTTAATCCGTTTGTAGTTTCCCTCTTCTCACTCGGTCGGGCAACCATTTCACTTTCCAATCAACTTTGGTACTGCATCGGCACCCTCCCTCAGTGCTTGGGAAGAAGCCAGACATTCTCCCACACGCAATTGGAGGTATGGATATGAAGATGCAGGAGGTAATATAGGGACACACGGGGAAGGGAGGAGAAAACACGAGGACCGTTAAATTTTTTTTTATAGATTTTTCATTGAATTCCCAAATTTCATGAGATTAAAACCGGGGAAAGAAAACTTCAAAAATTGAGAACTATTTCATGGATGGTAGAAAATGCACAACTTCTACTTATAAAACATGAAGAAACCAATCCCAGTGTCAATAGATGCATTGTCCAAGAATACTACACAAAAGATTCTTGTTAGTAATATATGAACGTGCATTTTGCTCGGACGGACGCCAGAAATATTGGAAATCTAAAATATCTTATTAAGCAAGAAAAACGAATGTGATGTTTTTATAATCTTAACATGTATTTATAGACTTAAAACAAATTCTAATCATATTGAAAATCTAATTCTATAGATAAATCCAAATAGTGGTTATATTGTCACCACAATTTTTATTTGATACATCATATTTTAATTGCAATTAAGGTCTTCAATCTTTGTTTATTGTAGCAATTATTTTCTCAACTCTTGAATTCTTATCTTCATTTTTCTAATAACTAGTACGCCTTATCATTGATAATGATTTATATCGAAATACTTTATTTTTATGCTTTGAATTGAGGGAAAATATTTTTTTTTTCACACTTTTTATTTATTCGTTTTTAAAAATATGACCAAAAAAAAATCGTTTTACATAATTTTAATGAACTTTTGGACATAAAGTTGTTATTCAATACAAAATGTGTTAACTAATGAAAAATTTGAGGATAAAAATGGCATGAAAAACTGTTAGGGGGCATAAGTGTTATAATGACCAAATATTAAGAACATTAAATGTAATTAAAAAGTGGTGCAAGAAATAAAAATTATGGTATGAATATAATTAGCTAAATCCAAATAAAACTAAAACTTCAAAAGATAAAAATATCCTTAAATTAACTAAAAACAGAAAAACGCTTATCAGACAAAAATGTACAGAATTAAAAAAAAAAAAAAAAAAAGGTTTTCAAATTGTACTCAAGAACGAAAATTCAACAATCGAGCTGAAATTATGCTCATTTTCGTACATCCTTCTTATTCATTCGCTCAAATAGTAAAACACTAGCCTCCAACTTATGGATGAACACGAGACAAAGGAGGGCTAAATGCCATTCATGAAGCTTTAATCTGACTTTAGTTGTACAATGATACTTCCAAACTAATTCACACACCTAAGAGCACAAGAAATCGTGATTACTACTAACCAGCATATGCTCCAAGACTTACATTGAAGATAGCACGACTCAGCATCTCATTACAAAGCTTCTGCCAATGGAAGCTTCCCCAGGATGGTCGACCTTATCGTCATTTATCATCGCCGTCGTCCTCTTCCTCGCCACTTTCAGTTTGGAGCTCCTAAACACTGTACTGTTCACCTCTTCACTCAACCTTTTCTATGGGACGACGAATTGGCTGTGTATTTTATTTGATAACGATCATCCCCAGCATTCTCGAACTGCCCACCAAAAAAAAAAAAATGGTTAAGCCAACCAGGAGAATAAAAGCAATGACAGAAAAAAAAGAAAAAGGAAAGAACATGTTTTGGTGCTTCACAGCTTGATATGAAGCTCACAGTCAACGGTTGAATATCTAAGTGAAAAATATGCCCAAAAAAGAGAGAGAGAAGATACTATAATGGGACTGTCTGCTGAAAACTCGGTGCCAACCAATGCCACCATCAGCAAGAACCTCAAGCATGAACAATGAGAGCACGCGGACCGATGAATAAAACATAAAAGGCTAATAGATTCAATTACTAGCTAACTAATCAATAACGTTAACATAAATGTATTATTTAAGATTGAGAGTCCATTGAAAATCTATAAATAAGCATTGTAAGAAATGCAAAATTTAGTAGCTTCCTCTCAAACAGCCATTTCTCTTCTTGCTCGTGTTCGAGCATCAGAGCACAGAGTTTAGGAGGAAAAATTCACAATTAGATGTGAGGAATTTGTTGATTGATATTTTACTATAAAACTATAAAATTCAATATTTGGACACAGTGAATAATAGACGCAATTAAGTATCATAATGTGATAGGCTCAATTAAATGTAAAATTATTTGATTATTTAATTGTGTCTATCATTTAATGTCACTTAGGTACCCCTTAGATTGGAGTTATAACACCAATAATACTAACTAATATTACTCTTTTTTATTGTACAAGCGCTAAGTTCAATTAGTTAACAAATTTCTAATGACGCAATGATCGAATAAATATATACTCTTTCCTTATATGCAATCGAATTCCAAGTCTACAATGGCAATAAAGAGTGGTTGAAATCTTTATAAGAATTAATTTTCTCATAGGCCCTAGCCCTACTACATGTCAAGTTTATCAACTCTATATTTGCCTCAATATTTATTATGTTTCCTCAAATTTCACAAATACAAACGATTCAAAACTTCCCCTCAAAAAACACACACAGTTGTCCATGGAAGATGACAGAACCATTGCCACAAGAGGGTTAAAATAGCTACCCACAACCCAAAATACATCTTGAAAACTGCTCCGAGAGGCAGAATAGTCGCACTCTTCAGATTCAGGTGAAAATTTGTGAGCCAAAAGAGAAAGTACATTGTTGAGACACAAAACCTTATTCCCAAAGAAGAACAGATGAAAATTAAATAATGTTATGTTCCTGCAGGGACCACAAAATTTGCTTCCTCGTCTCTCGAAGCCAGAATTTAGCACGACTTTTGCATTATATCTCTATATCCATAAATGCTCTCTCTGGTATTCTCGAACGATAACTGGAACACTTGTTGGTGGGATCTAGACACATCACAGAAAACGTGGTGAACGAACATTCAATGGAAATAGTGATATGAGCTACTACCAAATTCAGATAGAAAGATATTCACACGCAACCAAAAATGAAAGAGAAAGATAAGCTGCATTTGAAAGTCTGGGCAGCAACACAATCCACCCATTCCAACAGACACTGGCACTCTCATTATTTATCCAACAATCGTCATGGCCAAATGACACCAATACGACAAGAGGGCAGCAATGACTTTTGGAAATTAGACTTTTCTCCCAAAAACAGAAGCTTCTTAAAAAGCTCAAATGTGTTTGCAAAAAAGTTGCTAAAAACTAACTTTCAAACTTACTAGCCAAAAATGCACAAAATTGTCATGTTATCACTATCATTATTTACTTGAGAACTTTTAACACGCGCACAACAGTAAACCCAAGGTAAACTTATCAGTGAATAAACTAAATCCAACTTACCATGCCATAGTCTGTGATGATCATAGAAACATAATCTGAAGGAGTTGCATCATAACTGGCACCATGAAATTTCAAGAAAGTGAGCAGGAGTAAGACAGAATCAGTGGTTTTATCTAAATATCACGTGTCAATAACAGAATCACACTTACATCAAGTTCAAGAGTTGGAGATTCTCACTATTGGTCCAACCATCCAAATAATTTATCTCAGTTCTCCCAGAAACCCTTGCAATAGCATCAGGGTCACCTGCACATTGCAACCTTCATAAATTACTATGTTGCAATTGTTAATGCAGAAAATTGAAGAATCTAACTCGAAATTCATACCAAGTTCATTAGAGCAGATTGAATCAAGTTGAACCCTCTCGTGAAACTTGTATGCTTCACAACAAATCAAGACAGGAACATGGAACTGATGAGCAACCATAGCAATACTTGCAGTTCCAACTCTTGAGTAAACGGTGCCATTCGATAGCACCGATGAAGCACCCAACAATACTCTAGTCACTTCATGCATGACAAAAGAAACGGCATTTATATGAGTGTATGTACAACTTATACCCTGCCTCACCAACCTACGAAGCAATGCCTGTCCTTCAAGCTTTGGGCGTGAATCCACTATCACAACTCGAAATTGTTTGCCAAGCTCGTGGGCATGCAATAATATCATTTCCACAGCAGATAATGATCCGTAAGTTAGAAGAACATCACCATCCCTAATTTTTGTGACAGCATGCTTCACAATTACCTTACCTGCTAGAATTATCTTCTCATTTATAAAACGATCAATATCTGAGAGAATACTGGCTTTTGCCTCTGATTCAGATAGATTTAAAGCTAACTTGTTAATCCGAGTTTTAAGAAACTTAATTGCATTCCCCATGCTGATCGAAAGGGGTCTGCATTCAATCAGAAATGAGACATAACCATTTATTTTTGTGGTCAAGTCCCTGATAAGGGACTTCTCTGGTGGTGTTGAGTAGTCTCTAATTGACTCTTGGAATGCTTGAAGCATAGCAACACAGCGGGCATTGCCACCAGAGATATCCCCAGCTAGATATCTTACCCCAACCTGACAACAAATATGCATTCACAATAAGGATAAATCACATGAAAGTCATACTAATTTTGTTTATTTTTTAGGTTTTTTGTAAGAGAAGAAGAAGCTTTCAACCCCATGAAACATAAAAAAAAGGTTTAATCCCCAAACAAACCAATACAGCATGAGTACGATAAAATTTGTCACAAGAAAAGGTCTAATATTGATGATTCTTACTCCTTTATGTTTTACGGAGCCTACATTAAGATATGATATCAAAAAAGAAGAAAAATAGTCTACCAGGAGCTACCTTGTAAACAGCAGGATGAATGGGATCAAGTTGGAAGAACCTCGACTCAAGGTCAGGAAGCCTTGTTCCATGTTCATACTGGGGTAGATGCCTAAATAGTTCAACTCTGCTCCTGGCTTCAGTTTGTTTCATGACAGATCGCTTTTTTGCCTTCTCAACTCGGTTTTCGTCGTCAAACTGCATCCGTGGATGAGGGACATCTTTCTTCCTATCTTTATCTGGTTGGCGATCGCCACCTCTTTTCTCAGAAGCTGCAACAGAAGAGCTGTCTTTCTTCGACGAACTCACCTTTGGAACCTTTCCTGGATTGGCATTTACTGCATTGACCCCAGAAGCAGCAGCCTGTGTCTTACTTCCTTCAGCTGGATAAATGCAACATTCAGGAGAGAAACCAACTATAAAGTACATTTCACAATTTGTGGACAAATAAGCAATTCTAAGAAAATGAAAACTCACCTATACATTGCAATAGATGCCTTGACATATCATTTTAATATTAGCTATGAAAAATAAAACAAGAAAAAGAAGATTGACAATAAATTTTTTTTGCACATAAGGTGCCTGAGGCTGAGGACCAAGTAGGAATAGAAGCCTTGAGCTAACATTTTGTAACTCTGTATCACATAACAAGAAAGAAAGATGGATGACTTTGCATCTAAAATCCCTGAATTCCAAAGCGAATCACAAGTTTTATAATTTTATCTAAGCAATGCAAGTGACTTGGAGTTTTCCTTCAAATCATTGTTTGAAGAACATAAAAGACTTGCAGGGTTAGAGAATACAGATATGGCAGATGAGAAGCAGAACAATGTTTTACAAATGTACGGAGAGTCAAAAAAAATTTATAACCCATAAAAGTGGTCAAATTGATCTATATAATTGCTACCAAAAAAAGAAAGAAATTTTCCAGCAACAATTATCTGAAAAAACTATGAAGCAATTTGCTATACGACGACCTATTATTACCCTATCACTTGATCTTCTGAAAGAAATGACTCCTAGACCTGATAGATGAGCAATATTAAACCCGATCATTAGCTGCTCGATTATCAGAAGGATTCATGAACAGAAACCATTTAGAGGTTCACTAAACAGCATCATTTTTTTCCCACTTTAATGTACTAATAATATCGTTAGGCACAAAGAGGAATCTAGGAAAGGGTATATTTAATAACTAGTTAAAGGAACACTAAAATTCACTTAACCCACGAGGATCTGCAACAAATTAATGGCTTGATAGCCAGCGGCACAAAGTGTGAGAGAATCGTCCAAGTTACATTTCAGGTGGACAATGATTACTCAAATAATATTCAGATTTACTTTATATCACTTAGATCCTTGCAGAACTATGATGGAAAACATAGATTCCAAGAATGACAAGCTCTTCACTAGAAATTAGCAAATAGAATACCCTTGAGTGACGATGAATTAAATCTAAAATGTAAAAATCTACTATAGTACTATAAATCACTCCTTTTCCATCAAATGTTATTAAAAGAGCTCGACCTTTTTCCAAGTCAACATTTGTCGTATCCGCATGACTATTAATTGTGAATGCCATATAAACATTATGGCCTTCAAAATGTAAACTAGCACACTAAAAACAAAAAAAAAGGGCTACGACAGAATTAAGGCTGGTGACTCAGGGCAACTAACTATAAGCTAGAATCCATCTCAAATCAAGTCCCAAAATAAACACAAATTAACACTTGTATAAATTTCAAAAATGGAAAAGCAAGCAAAAAAAAGGTATTCACATTTAGCAGCAGCTTTTGCAGCTCGTTGAGCCTCTTGAAGAAACCGCCGCTCAGCTTTTGTCATCTTCTCCTTCAATGGCTTTGAACCCCCTGCCTGTTGCTCCATCTGCACTTCCCCCATTGCCAATCTTTCTTTTTCTGAAACAAAGCATTTACATGAACAAAACCTCAAAATAAAATTACATCAAAAGGGAAGAAAATAAAACTAACCGGTAACAGCTTTAGGCATTGTAACAGTCGAAACCGTAGCCAAACCACTAGCCGGAACATTATTCTGCTTCACCCTACCAATTCCTCCAGTAGGTAGAGAACTGGCAAACTTCGCCGAATTTCCCTTCCGGCTTCGCCCAGGCGAGAAGTCATCCGTCGCAGTAGGCGAAATGAATTCTGACGGATTGTAACTACCAACAGGAATGGACGAGTCTGGTGTTCCGCGGGCGCCACGGGGAGGGGAAATTGGTTCCTGCTGGAAGTGGCGTGACATATCCGACGAAAGGTTACGCGGCGGCGGGATCATGACAGGGGACAGAGAATTCCCAGAGGGGGAGATTTGGGAAACCGGTGGAGATGAGGAGGTGGAAGCTGGTTGACCCGATTGGGAGCGGTCGGGTGGGGCAAAGAATCCGACTTGCCGGACCTTGGGGTCACTAACGGTGCGAGGCACACGGCGAGGGTCCATTTTGTAATGTAGGGTTTTGAAGTGTAACGGGAATGGAATTTGTGCTTTGATGGAATCTCTATCTAGCTAAGGTTTGGAATTTGAAGATAGGAAAGAAACAGGAATAAATGGTTGTGGTGTTACGGTACGGAGGGTTTCACGGCAAAGGAAACTGGCCGCCCGCCGGCAAAAGTGGTGGCCAGTTACACTTGCATATTCGCGTGGGTAAAAATTGGGGACGTGACATGAGCATGCTGTCCCCCGTAAAATAGAGTACACAAAAAATTAATTTTTTTTTTTATCATTATTTCGTTTTTTCGACATTCATTTTTTACTTTTTATTTTTACAGATGAGACTCACTTTTTTTTTTTTTTAAAGTAAAAAAGTCTATTATAATCAAAAGTTAGAGATTGTTTAATGTCTTTGCGCAATCAAAAGTTGATTGTTATGCATGTTCTAGCTTCTAGCAATTAAGAATATTTGTTATCACATTCAAAATTTGTTTTGAAAAGAAAAATTAATTTTGGGTCGGAAAGAAGGAAAAAAAATTATATAAAGGTGGGATGCCGGCGACAACAGTTGCTGTTGGTGATGGCTGCGACTACTTTCGCAATGGTGTTGGCAACGCCGATCAGCGACACCAAGGATTAAGTAAATAAAATTTTTTTTTGGGTGAATTAATTAGGGTTTACAGTCGATTTTGGGGTGAAAGAAACCAGGGGCCTCCTCTGCAATTTTCGCAATTTCTGGGTGCTGCCTAGAATTATAAAATAAGAGTCACTTTGCAATTTCTTAAATGGAGGGTTTCCTTGCAATTTGTGTATTTGGAGGGATTTGTTGATAATTTATAAATGGGTCAATTTCAAAAGTTTCAAAAGATGTTTTGAATTAAACTGTATTTAATTTAATTTTAAATGTTTTGACCTATGTTATCAATTTTGACCCGTTTAAAATTTTATTTAGAAATTGACGACTTTTTATATTTTCGTTAAAATATGATTTTAACTTAAATATTAAATTTGACCCTAAATTAAATTTTATTTTATTTAGGGGGTTCATCTTAAATTAAAATATTAATTCAATTTAAAGTAGAGTTGGACTCTAAATTAATACTTAATTAAAATTTAATTTTAATTAATTATTCACCCGATTATATTTTTGAAATTAGAATTGGATTCTAATATGACATTTAATTAAAATTTGATTTTAATTAAAGTGTGTTGCCCTAAAAATTTTTCTTGGAATTAGAGTTAGACTTTAATTTTATATTTAATTAAAATATGATTTTAATTAAATTAGTTCGCTCTAAATCTTGAAATTAGAGTTGTACTTTAATTTTGCTATTTAATTAAAATTTGATTTTAATTAAATTCAACCGCCTTAAGTTTTGAAAATAGAGTTGGACTCTAATTTGGTAATTAATTAAAATTTGATTTTAATTAGATAGTTTCGCCCCATAATTGTGGAATTGGAGTTGGACTCTAATTCGGTGTTTAATTAAAATTTGATTTTAATTAAATATGCCCGCTAATTAAATAACTGATTAATATGATTAATTAATTATTTAATTATTCTGATCCACTAGTCTAAAAGAGTTTAGACAATCTTAATTGCTAGAAACTTGAAACATATTTGCATGTAATATTAGATATTATATAAGAATACATTTATGTGATAAATGTATTATTAGTGAATGATTATGGACTCGACCAAATATAAACAGATTCAAATACAGTCCATTGATTTTTATTCTTGTTGTTTTGTGGGCATGTGAGCCCGTTATTATTGTTATTATTTTGGGCCTGCGAGCTCTTGATCATTTTGGACCTGCGAGTTCGTTATTATTATTGTTGCTATGGGCCTGCGAGTCCAATTTCATTTGGGCCTGCGTGCCAACTAGCATAGGATACATGTTGCAACTGGACTAATTGAAGAAACAAGAAGAGGAGGACACCATGGAGATGGTGCATTGATACTTGAAAAGATTATAGTTCGACCCAACCAACACCTAGAGGGGGGGTGAATAGGTGTCTATGCGAAATTTAACAATTTAATTAAGTTATGCAACAAGTCACATAAATTAAACGTTGTCCAGATTCATTCACATGATTTAACTACCTATGTTGAATTGCCGGTTGAATTGAAATTGACAAAAAGCAATAAATAACACAAAAATTGTTGACGGAGAAAATCCAACAGGGTAAAAACTTCGGGCACAAGCCAGTAGGGATTCACTATAGAAGACTCCAACTTACAGTACGCCAGACACGATTGTATCTAACGACACTCTGACCTCCTTACTGTATCAACCCAAGCTCTCATGGATTCTGCAGATCTGGGCCAAAATTCCAGCCTTGTATTTCTTTTATTTCCCGTGAATCAACAAGAACTCCAGTTCTTCAATCAACCTCCTTCCCGGATCTTCAATCAACTGATCTCCTGGAAGTAGTGAGGATTTTTGATAGGTGTTTTGTTTGAAAAGGTGTTTGATGTTTTTTTTCTCTTCAATGAATCATATGGTGAAGAGTTTTGCAATTGATCATTTGGTAGAGAGGAAAATATTGTGCTATGTGTTTTGTCAAATGTTGTTAATGAAAAGTGAAATTTTTGTTTATATAGTAGGTCGTTTTTGGTAGTATGGAGCGTTTAAAATTCACGAGGAAGAAAAATTACCAAACGCCGGATGGCACTGTCGCTCGAGCGAAGTGCCGGTGAAATTCTAGCGACTCACTCTCGCTCGAGCGAATTGGTGGCGAAACTCCAACGACGCAGGTTCTGTTATTTAGGCTCGAGCGAGGTCAGGGCGAAACTCTAGCACCAATCTTACGCCATTTTCATCTTCAAAGCATCCAACTTTACCCTAGACCTATACATTAATTATTGAGAAATTGCAACACAAGTCCCTAAACTTTTAGACATTGACAAATTGGTCCTTGACTTTACAAACTCGACAAATTAGTCCTTTTGGTCACAGATTGCCAATTACAACATTTTCCTAACAAAATCTCCCTTTGGCATTCTGTGACAAAATTACACAAGATAGTCAAGGACACAAAAAAATGTAACTCCTAACGACCTATTCATTCAACCAAAGCAACTATCTCCTGTCGAACCTGTTTCCTGAAATATAGAAACTGAATACCAAGTGTAAAAGCACGTGAAATGGAAACAGTAGATAAAACAAAGAATAGTGCATATGTAATTAACCAGATTAAGAAACAATAGTAATGTAATTCAAAAAACAACAAAAACATACATCAATATTGCTAAAACATCAAAACTTAATCTAGTCATTAAATAGATATCAAACCACAGTTATATCACAGTTAAATTGAGATTAAACTATCTACTCCCCCTTTTGTCACAAATGACAAAGGATCAAAAACTAAAACTAAAACTAAGAAGCAGCACGTAACTGCGTGATCTCTGCCATCATACGAGCCTGTTGCGCGACTAAAGTAGACATCTGACCCATAAGTGTCACCATGGGGTCAACAGGCAAGGAAGCTACCCCTGGAGCAGAAGTAGATGTCGAAGGAAAGGTAGCTTGAAGCGAAACAGCTAAAGGAAAATTCGAACGAGGTGGAAGAAAGACACGGGAACTCCCAATAAGAATATCAGTAATAGGATCAAAGGGCTCCGAAAAATTAAAAACATCAACGGGTTCAGCCTGAGCGGCAACATGAGCCGAAGAGGATGGGACATGGGATCGACTCTAGTGAATGGTCTGCTGTCCTATCGGGCGACCTATGCGAGTAGAAGACCCCTCAGGAAAAGATGCACCAAGAGAAAGGACAACCCGATGAATCAAACAGGCATAAGGTAACCCTAAACGACTCCTAGGAGTACGAAAAGAAGCTAGAATCTGCTGGCACACAAAAGTAGGAAGGTCGATAGAGTCCCCATGAAGTAGGGCATATAGGAAACGAGCCCGTACCATCGGTAAAGAAGAAGTATGAGCAACAGGCCACAGGTTTGTGCACAAGATGCGCAACAAAACCTGTCAATCAGTGGGTAATGAACCCGTGGCCATAGCCGTAGGCCCCCTAGTAGACGGGGTGTTCAAAAGAGTTGACCGAACAAGGACATCGGCCAGAAGAGAAGCAGGGAGAAGATAGGGATACGTTGGATGAGGAATCTGAGGTATACTTAACGCAAGAGCTACTGCAGACGGAGTAACTCGAAAAGAATGACCTTTAAGAAAACTCCTAAACGACGACCCATCCACCTCATGAATATTAGCATAAAACTCTTGAACGAGGAGTGGAGGCGACGGTGTAAGACCAACAAGAAGGGGCTCCCAACCCTGGGAAACAAAAATAGCGGTGACGTCAACAGGAAGGTCAGATAGAATTACCTCACGCTCCATGAGAACGGGGCATAAGGAGAACTGAGACGTGAAGATCTCTTGAGCTATAGCAGAAATAAACCGGGATCTACTATAAGATGTCGCTCCACTAGCAGGCTATGCAGAGGTACGAGAGCGCTTACGAGCCATCTGACACATGCAGAGATGAAAAGAATAAGCATAATGTGAAATGCACGCATCACGATGCAACATGATATGAGAAGATGCACACATGGAAACACATGATCCAATCACATAAACATGAATGAAAACACACATGGCATGCAACGACACTCAAACAAGTAGGAAAGAAACGAAGGAAAAGAAGGAAATCAAAAAAAATCAAAAGAAACCAAATAAGCATAAAAAAGTGAACTTTCATCGAACACGTGGCGTGCGTGACTTCGGCACCAAATTCCAAGCACATACGAGACCCAATCACAAATCCAAACACATCCCTAAAAACTACATGCTATGGACTTCACAATCAAAACAAACCACACATCAAACGAATCAACGAGGTGCAAGAACTATATTGATGAACATGGACCAAAAACTTAAAAAAAAATGTGAAGAAAACCATAGGAATGCACTATAATTTGGGAAATGGAAAGCAATACTTGATGCAAAACATGTGTACAAGCAAGATGTAATGTCAAAATAACATAAACCAACACAATGATCAAGAAAAGAAATCAAACAAACCAAAAAAAATTGAAAGCAAAGAAAGTTGGGAATTACCTAAAGATTTTGCCAAGAAGTCAGTGTTTCAGACCCAAGATTGTGTTAAAGATGTCGAATTGAGGCCAAAAATGAATTGGGAGTGAATAATTTTGATGGAAGAAGAAAAGAATTGAAGGAGGAGAAAAAAAAATGATAAAATGATC